AAGGTCTCACTCTGCTGTGCTGTGGGTGGCACTATCACACAGCTGACCACAGCCTCCACCTCTTAAACTCAGGCCTTTCTGTCTTATCCTCAACCTCCCTCGTAGGTGGGACTTTAGGAGCACGCCACCACGCCTGGGTAATTTTTTGCTTTTTTGTAGAGATGAGTTCTCACTATGTAACCTAGGGTGGTCTTAAACTCTTGGGCTCAAGTAATTCTTCCTTCTCAGCCTCCCAAAGTGCTGGAATTATAGGCATGAGCCACTGTGCCTGGCCCATGCCTTAGTTTTCTTATCTCAGTGGAAATAGCCAAGGGTATTTACTGATAAGATGGTTTTGAGACTTAGAAACATTAATTTTAAGATGCAACAAGGTCTGTGACAATATCAGCACCCAATAAAAGTTAGCTATTATAAAGACTCAAGGCATCTGAAACTTATTCTGTTTATTATACTGATGGAAGTCTTTTCTATTCAGGTTCTAATATCAGAAATATTGATGTTGCTTCTAGGCATCTCTTCCTTTGTTTTAAGGAGACTACGAAACATGTACATAATCCTGTTTCTCTCAGCAACAAGAACATGACATTTGTGCCTCATTTCTAGCAAGTGAACTGACTGATTTTTGTGGCATGTGTTTTTCATTCACCCTTCCTATTTGGGCACCCCATTAAGAATGTGACCTCTGAACTCAGCATGCCTTAGTGTCACTCTTGGTTGCAGCACATACTTGCTGCGACCTGGAACACATTCCTGGCTCCTCCATGCCTTCTGTAAAGTTGGGAATCACAAAACGATCCTCCTTCCTAGTGTTTCTTAGTGTAGGATTTAGTGAGTGAAGCCATCTGAGGTATTTGCAGTTGTGACTGCAAGAGGTAATATATGTCCTACAAAAGTTACCCTAGCCAATCATCATCATTCTGACTTCCTCTTATTTTTTGAAACCCTAGCTTTCTATTTGCTTTGATTATTTTGATTCCTTTCAGGGTACTTTTATCAATTTGCACGTGCGTACTTGTATACATGTGCATGTGCGTGCGTGCGTGCGTGTGTGTGTGTGTGTGTGTGTGTGTGTGTGTGTGTATGTGTGTGTTTACAAAACAGAAATGTGTTCTAACTTAAACATAAGCTTTACGGACAGTTAATGGAGTAGCTCATCAAATGAGAGGAACAGCAGAAGAAGGACCAGTATCTGAAAGGGCAGCTGAAGGACATCAGCTCCAGTAATGCAGGTGGCAAAAGTTATCAACCATCTTGTTAGAGTGCTACAGCTGTAATAAGCACAAACCATTTTCCTCTTTGTGATAAGCCACTCAAACATCAGTGGCCTGCAGGAGAAAAGGTTTGATTCACCTGGTGGGGATATTGAACCCAGTCTTTGCTCGAGACAGAGCAATCATTTTGAGTGGTATTCTCATCAGAGTTTTTCATAGTGAAGGGGCTGTTACTACCCATAACACAAGATCTGTTATTTAAAAAAAGAACAAGTGGAAGCTAGCTGGCCCCAGTTCCACTAATATGCACTACAGTCGTGGTGTGTGCATTTTGTTAACTGTCCTATTTTTTTAAACATAAATAAGTAAAGACATAAATAAATAAGTCCACCAGCACATAATGATTAAAACAAAAAATAATGGTATAAAACTCAGGAGATCTGGGCTGTAACTGTAGCCCTTTCTGACTGATTTTCTTACTAATAAGGGTTTAGTTTAGTGTAAGCACTAAAAGATCCCTCAGGAGTGTCCTAACTGTGAAATCCTTATGTTCTTTCGCTGTCTTTTTTATGTGGAACCTATAGTGCTTTTACATATACAAACTCCATAGAGTCCAGTCTTTAAACTCTAGCAGAAGATGGGAATTTATATGCAAACAAAAACTTAAACAGTTAAGATAGACTCAATACGTTAATTAGCAACTGTTGCATTAGTTTAGTTTATTGTTAAGATGTGTATTTGAAGGGAATCTAAAACTCTGTAAATATTCAAATTTACAATGGGGTAGTGATATAATCATTGACTTAAAAGTACAAAATAGTTTCAGTTTAGATAGACTTAGTTATGGTTTTTCCTTTCTATAGGAATTTTTATTTCTCATGACTAGGGGACTATTGAATATTTCTTATTACTTACTGGAAAGGATATTTATATTTGTTCTAAGCTGTTGTATATTTTTTAAAAGTTTAGGTATGAGCTACTGGAAACATCTCATTGGTTTCTATTACATGACTTCTTCTCCAACTAAGATGAATAGAACTTTATAATATGTATTTATGGTCACAGGAAGGATTAATTCAGATGTCTCTGAAAATATAGCTATTATGTTTCATTGTTGCTTTTTAAAACAACATTTACTTTTTTAAAGAGTGTCAACCTGAATTAGTTACCAATTAAAAACAATAATCAAGTCTTCTTGTATCACTATGAGAATATAACTACTATGTTTCATTATTTTTTAACCTATATTTTTTAAGTATTAGCCTGAATTAGATCACCAATTTAAAATAATAATCAGATCTTCTGTTATTACTCTGATTATGTATAAAGATGTCACATAGCACAACTCTATTTTGGGTAAACAACTAGTTTAATCTGCAGTCACTTCAAAATGTGTGAGGTTAGGTATGCCTCTTCCTTGAAAACTTTCTGAGTCAACATGCCAAGATTGCGCGTTACCTTATTTACAGAGACGCAACATACAGTCTGCTGTTCTAACCAAGAAAATGAAGAGCAGGGCCTAGTCACAGGAAGAACATTCATTCAAAGTTTTAAACTCGGATACCTCAAGGAATTCTGATAGTTGTATATAAAAGTATTTTATCTTTCTATTCAAAAGCCATGCTTACAGATTTCAGAAAATTAGCGCTGTGTGGAGAATAGTCATTAGCTCAGCAGACTATTCACCAACCAAACATGTCTCGACCGTGTTGCTTTCTTAAAAAGTAAGCTTGGCACTGTACTAACATTCACTACAGGAATGGTTAAGTGATTCTCTGTTACTTTAAGAAGAAACCAGGATTCCTAGAAGAAGAAAGAGGAGGAGAAGAAAATTCTAAAAATTAGTACTCAATGAATGTGCCAGGCACTGTATTCATTCCATTATGTAAACGAACTCATTTCTACCTTGTCTGTTTCTAGACATAGGAGCTCTTAGTATGCTCATTTTGTAGATGAACCTGAGGTACACAGAGTTGAAGAGACTTGTGCAAGTTATAGTCAATAAGAGTCAGTTTGGGATTCAATCTAGGCAGTCTTGTTTCATAGTCCATGCTAAACCACTATGCTGTATTGTCTATGTAAGAAGATGAAATAAGATCAAATCGATAATTTAACCTCATTGTCAGCTTTCTAAAATGCTGCACTTGAGACTATTTTCAAAGTTTTGCTTTTACTGGTTATTTTTTGGCTGCTTGCTCACCAGTTAACTTGGTTGAAAATTCCCAAGTATTTAGTCGAAGGAGATTGGTATGTTTATAAACCCACAAGAAAAGAAATGATTAGTTGTTACAAAGTTGGCTTAATTAATAAGATCATAATTTCCTTGGTTACAAAGATCATGATTTTTTCCCATTCTATTACTTCATAGTAGCTAACACTATGACCTATCTGTAATATTAATAGATACTAAATCTATATTGTAACTTTACACTTGCTGAGTTTTCCCTAGGGAAATCTGGCTTGCAAATATGACCTATAAAAGATCCAAATATGTCAGTGAAAGTTTACCCGATTCTGTAGATTATGCAATTCAAATATAAGTATCCTGTTCAGAGATTGTATTATTGAATTAGCCTGTGTGTAATTGTCTTATTTCATATATAGTATTTATCAGTTTGTCATTATAGTTATATACAAACTGCACTTTGACATTAATATAAATCTAAATTAAGGAGAGGAACATGGACCTAGACCAAGATGAAACTATCTCTTGCTAGTTCATTAACTTTTACGAATTACTTAGCTCTCTGGTCTTTGTTTCCCTAACTCTCCATTGGAGGTAATGTTTCTACTTTTAGGATTCCTTACTGACTAAATGATAACCTTTTGATGTTAATATTTACACTTTGGTTAGTTGCTATATTCATTCGCAAAAAGCAAAAGTTTTCCCCAATTCTGCTACCTCTTTCCCCAAATAAAATGGTTTACATTTGCCATGGGTTTTAGTGTTTCAGTGTTTGGATTTACTTTTCATTATTTTTAGTGTTTGGATTTACTAACATACATAACATTCATATAGTACATATACTCTAAAAAAAATTACTCTTCCTTGAGCTACAAATTTATTAAAATGAAGAAAAAATGTGTACAGATTTTTTCATTGTGTTAATAACTTGAATCAATTGAATGTAAGTTGCATTTTAAAATTTATAACATAAAGTTTTGTTGAAAATTTAAAAATTGTGACTGACTATCTAAACTATTGCTGTTTCAAAGATATGGTATTTTGAACCTCAACAAGAATTTGATTTATTTAATGCAACAAAAAATTACCAAGTTATTTACAGATGTAATCAAATCAGGGAAATAAAATGTTCACTCTAAATCTGTGATTTTTTTTTTTTTGGATACTTTAAAGTAAAGCTACCTTAAAATGACATCTAGATATATTTTTATCTCTAGAAGCATCTTATTGTTTCATAATCTGCATGTGATTATAAATGTTTTATTTTCCTGTTAACCAGGTACTTGAGTCACACCCTTGGTTACTGTAGTAATATATCTTAGATACTGCAGTGTATTGCTCCTGCTCTTAGCTACAACTAAGTTGTGGCTTTAGGTTTCTAATTACTTTTCCTCCTTTTAACAAATCTATCAGTGTGCGCCACTCATAACACTGAGCAACATGTGAGAGATGCTAGAGATTTTGATTTGAATTGAAGTAAAAATAAGGGAAGACTGCTATTCATCCTCAGACGCTTACATTTTCATTCAGGTGTTTCTGCAGTAACCATGCAACCTCCTGTGGTAAATATGACTGACTGCTCTTTTTTCTTTCGCTCTTTTAAGCAAAGTAAATCAGCTGTTCGGCTGAAAGAAGACATGAAAAAGATAGTAACGGTGCCAGTAAATGAGCAGAGGGTGTCCACCTATCAGAAGGTGTTTGGAGTCAGCCTCCAAGAGCTTCAGCAGCAGGGCCTCACTGAGAACGGCATTCCAGCTGTCGTGTGGAACATAGTGGAGTACTTGACACAGCATGGTGAGTTGTCATGCTTTTGTTCTGTTAGTTTTTAACAGGTCCTTGCATAAAGGGAGTATGTTCCATGTGAATTATCTCATGATAAATGATTTGACTATCCTCTAAAGCACCTTCACTAGAATATCAAGTTAATTGTGTGATATACTTTTCCCTTAAAAAAGGACATTACTGCTTAACATTATCTTGACAGTACTATTTTGATTAACCGTGGAGCAATCACTCTCACTACTAAGATTTCTAGTTTGGAATGTTTCCTAGTTTCTTTCTTTTTTGATTTTTTTTTTTAATTTTATATATGTGGAGTACAATTCAGGATTAGGTATACAAATGTTCATTTTGCAGGTACCCTTGTTGATGAGGTGTGACCCCCACTTCCCGGCAGATTCCCACTGCTGCCAATTCTACCCCATAACCCTGGCAGTTTCGCACTACTGTTAATCCTTTTCTTATAGTATCACGATAATTGTTCAAGGTCCACTTATGAGTAAGAACATGTGATACTCGGTTCTTTGTTTCTGTGATAGATCACTCACTATTATAGACTCTAAGTCCATCCAAGTTGCTGCGAAGTTCATAATTTTGTCCTTCTTTATGGCTGCATAATATTCCATCATGTATACATACCACATTTTTTTTTTATCTAGTCCTCTTTTGACGGGTAGCATGGTTGGTTCCAGTTTTTACTATTGTGAATAATGCTGCAATAAACATGTGTGTGCACGTATCTTTCAGAGAGAGTGATTTGATTTCCACCGGGTATATTCCCAATAGGGAAATTTTGGGGTCATATGGGAGGTCAAGTTTTAGATCTTTTAATAGTCACCAAACTGATTTCCACAGAGGTTGTACTAGTTTACACTCGTTTCCTAGTTTCACGTGCTAAAATACACTGTTCTAATATGAGTAGTGAGTTATCTTGGTTAACTAAAGTACAACTAATAGTCCATAATTTTTTAATGTTATTAAATACTTTTCGGGTATCTTTTTCAACTGAGGTCAATGATGAACTTACTGAATGCCTGACTATCTTCATATACTTAGTAGGGATACCAAAAAATTATGATGTATAACCTACTATTGGGAAGGTGTCATTTATTTTTGGAGTGATAAAATTAAGCATGTAAAGTATTTATAGAATAATATAGTATATTGCACAATAAAAAGATAAATTATATCTCTCTTAGTTATTGAGAGCTAGGTAGGCCACAGCTTTTTGATGATTTTATTTGAAATAAATCTTAAGCCTGGATAATTTGAGAGAATGCTTCCATAACCCCTATAACCTTTTAAAACTAGGGTGGTGTGATGGGAGAAATCCTAACTACATAATAAATACCACTAAACTTTAAAGGATTTAGGAAGGAAATATTCTGAGGGAATATTTGCAATTGGCATTATTAACATTTCTATACAGTACTAAATCAAAAATGAACTCATCGAAGAGTAGAATATAAAATTTATAGCGATTTTTAATGTAAAACTTGAGACTCCAAAGAAATTCTTTGTAGTAGTCCTCCCTTGTCTGTGTTTTGTTTTCTAAGGTTTCAGTTACCTGTAATCAACCACGATCTGAAAATATCAAATGGAAAATTCCAGAAATAAACCATTTATGAGTCTTAAATTGCTCCTTATTCTAGGTAGTGTGATTAAATCTGGTGCTGCCCCGCTCTGTCTTGTTTGGAATGGGAATTATCCCTTGGTTCAGTGTATCCACGTGTACACATGACCCACCTATCAATCACTTAGTAGTGCTCTCGGTTATCAGATCCACTCTCTCAGTGACTCTATGCTTGTGTTCAAGTAACTCTTGTTTTACTTAATAATGGCCTCAAAGTGCAAGTACTGATGTTGGCAATTCAGCGATGTCAAATAAAAGCTGTACAATGTTTCCTTTAAGTAAAAAGTTGAAAGTTCTCCACTTAAGGAAAAAAAACAAGTATGCTGAGGTTGTTCAGATCTATGGTAAGAATGAAACTCTCTGTAAAACTGTGAATAGTATATTATTACAGTAGTTCTATTACTAGTTACTGTTGTTAATCTCTTACTGTGCCTAATTTATAAATTAGGGTTTCAGACATCTTCTGGGGGTCTTGGAAAGTATCCCCTGTGGATAAGGAGGAATACTACTGTACTTTGTGCAATTTGCTTCAGGTTTTGTATTGTTCCAGGATTATATGTCCATTCTCCCTGGCTGTAAGAATCCTTTACTGGAAATGAATGGGAAGCATCAGTCATATATTACTCTGCAGGGGCATGTATCAACTTTTGACAGGGACCACATGGCAGACAATTCATTCCTCAAAAAGTTAGATGTTTGTGTTCTTTGAAGAAACATCTATCTGCTCTGACTACCAAATATGTAGATTACAAAATGATATTTTGGTCTGAAAACTGAAGAGCCAGGCTTGTGTTCTTACCTCATGGGATTTATCCCCCCTGTTTTGAATGATGATAAACTACAAAAGGACCAGATTCTTAGAAAACAGTTCTGGATTTATGTAAATACTTAAACAGTTAAACACAAAAGGTATTATACACAGCACAGCAGGAAGATGGAAGCTTGGCCTACAAAATCTGGAAACCAGGTGTTATTAAGTTAGTTTTGACAGACGTATTTACATACTCAGTACAATACTGAGTAAAACTGCATCTCACTGATGTAGATACAAATGGGTTTCTAGGTAATTCATTTAATCTGTTAAGTAGGGCTGTTCAATATTGTTCATTTGGATGCCAGCTGTGACTATCTAAAATAATACGTTGGTTTTGGCATGATCAGTGTTCTTTTCCCCAACACCGATTGAATAATGGTTTCTTGATTATACTCTTATCATGTAAAAATCCTTTCCATTTAAAATTTTTTAAATTGCATACATTTTCTTGAATAGTTATTAAACTCATGTGGTTCCAAATATACATACAGTGAAAATTCTTTCCCTCCAAACCCTGTCTCCTGACCTTCATTTCTTCTCTCCAGAATAGCATTATTATTCTAATTTCTGGTATCTTCTTTAAAAGGTATTTTATGCATATATAAGCATATGTATGTGTGTTATCTTTTGCCTTCCTTTACCACAAATATAGTACCATGTACACTATCTGGAATTTGTTTTTTAAAAATCACATTTGTGTATTTTGGAGATTGTTCCACTATATGTATGTATCATTTCTTTAAGCTGTCCCATACTGATGGGCATTGAATTGTTTCTAGATTTCTATTGTTTACAATAATTCCAGGACTAACCTTTGATGTGTCATTTCAAACACGAGTGTATCTGTAAACTAACTTCCTAGAAGTAAACTGCTAGGTCAAAGGATATGTACATTTGTAATGAACTCTATAGGGCTGAACCAGTTTATATTCACACCATCAATGTAGGAAAATTTTGGCAAAATTTGAAACAGGAATTGGTTTTCTTCTACTTCTCCATGGTGTAATCTTAGTTATACTTTAATAGAGTGTATTCAGGTAACACAAATTAAACATTTAAGTAGGTTAAATCAGTCATTCTAACTAGGAATGTGAAATAGAAACAGTAGTGGAATCTTTTCAAAATATACATATATTGGCCACACTCTGTATCTACTGAATCAGACTCTTGACTGGGAAATGACCTGGCACCTATCTTTTTAAAGGGCTGTGTTGTTAATTACTATGTAGGCAACTAGAAACCTTTTTGTACTTGAAACTATCATGTTGATAAACCAAAGAACCTGTGTAAATTTGAAGGGTGGTATAAAGTTTGAGGGTAAGACACTTCAATTCATTTTATTTAATTATTTTGTAGTTATTTCAGGTCAACAAATGTTTATTGCACACCTGTAACACAGTATGCACTCTGTCAGGTATGGGAATGGGATTGTAAGGGTGATCTGTCATATAATTTAATTATAAGTAGATATTTTGGTCAAACTTTATTTCATGGAAATGCAGACAGTTTTAGCAACTTGACATGAGAGAAAACTATTAGTATAAAGGAATTTTAGGACAGAAAGCATTTATCAAGGCCTATAACAATGTCTTTGAACAGACTTTGGATGTTTTTTTTTGAAAAAATGATAACCTGTAAGACATATCATTTTTAAAACTCTTTTAAAATAACGAATCTTGCTGACAGTGTTAATGGGTGCCTTCTCTTTAGCATGAGGTTACTATGGGTTATACAGTTTTAACCCATAGTGTAAGAGTCTCAACTCACCACCAGGTGTCAGAACATACTTACATATTGTCATATCATTTCCTGTGCCAAAGTGTGCCATCAGGTAGATTATGACTTTGGGCATATGTAGTTTCTGATGATTATATTCATACTATTTTGAAATAAGTATTTTAATTGTACAAAAAAGTAGCAGTCTCTAGTATAGATGTTAACTTATATAATTTTTCTTTTGTTTCTAAACCACTATTAAACTTGTTTTGTGATAATTAGCACATATGTTCTAAAATCAAGTATAACAGGATCTCTGAAATATTTACATAACTCTACTTCATCAAGTCCTCTACATACCTCCTTTTCTGAGCATTTCTGTTAAATTCATAACTTTCTAAAATTTTGGATTTGGAAAATTTAAAGATTATATAGTCTGGTAAGCATCATATGGATATTAGACATATTACAACCTCATAAAGAGTTCTTAAAAACAGTATGGATTCTTCTTCCAAGAATGCAATATAGTCATGTCCAGGAGTAAACTTCTGCTGGTTAAAAAATCACCAAGTATTGTATGAGTTGTTTTGGGTAGGAGATATTCCTGAGGGAAGAGAGTTGTTCAGATAAATAGAATGGAGACAGAAAAAAATTGAGAAGCATTAACTTCAATGACTTCTATTTATACCATATCAGTTGGTTAGTATAGTCCAGTGAGATCAGGAGGCTTGAGGACTATAGCAGTTCTTGCAGCTGAGTCGTAATTTTGAAATTGCTGGAAGTGTATTTATTTGAGGGAAGGTTCAAAAAAAACATGTTGGAAAAGAAAGACTAAGGTCAAAGCTAGAAAAATACTATGTGAAATCAGATCCAAGGGGCATTTGCTCAGCCAAAAACAGAAAACAAGGTTAGGCTAAGGAGCTGAGTAAATACAAAATTCTAGATTTTCAGGATTTGGGCTTTGACCAAGGATGCAATGCTCTTTTTTGGATGCTAATTGCTTGATACTTGGATACATTTCTGAAGTTAAACAAAAATAGAGGAAGTAGACCCTGAAGGCTCTAAATGAGTGAGCTGAAACTCGGATATTCTGTAGAATTTAGGGAATGGTATATGTATTAGTTATCCATTGCTGTATGACAAATTACCTCACAAAACATATCAGATTAGCACAGTAATATTTATTATTGTCTCACAGTTTCTGTGGGTCAGGACCCCGGGCACAGCTTAGTTGTGTCTTCCTCCTTATGGTCTTTTACAAGACTGTGATCCTGATCTCGGCAGGACTCAATAGGGGACAAAGATTCCCTGCCAGGCTCATTTATGTGATTGATGGCAGGATTCAGCTACTGGTGGGTTGTTGGCCTTCAGGCTGGTTGCCGGACAGAGAACACCCTTAGTTCCATGCCTGTGGGTCTTTCCATAGGGTACCCAACAAAGTAAATGGGGGGTGTAGAGAGGGAGAAGAGAAGTAGGATATAAGGTCAGGGAGTAACAGAGATGGAAGGGAGGAGAGAGACACAGACAGACAGATACAGAGAGACAGGCAAAGAAGGAGACAGAGACAGAGAGACTGGGACTCTTTGGCTAATTTTTTTTTTTTTTTTTTGTAAAGATGTGGTCCTGCCAAGTTGCCCAGGCTGGTCTTGAACTCCTGGGCTCAGGCAGTCCTCTCATCTCAGTCTTCCAAAGTGCTGGGATTACAGGTGTGAGCCACCATGTCAGTCTGTTAAATCCTTTTTTTTTTTTTTTTTTTGTATTGGAGTCTCACTATGTCACAGAGGCTGGAATGCAGTGGCATGCTCACGGTCATCCCAGTGTCGCCCTGCTGGGCTCAGGCTATCCTTCCCCCTCAGCCTTCCAATAGCCGCAACTACAGGTGCGTGTTACCACACCTGGCTAATTTTTTTTTTTTAATTGTTGAGATGAGGTCTCGCCAAGTTGCCCAGGCTGTTCTCAAACCCAGGAAATCCCCTCACCTCACCCTTCCAAAGTGCTGGGATTATAGATGTGAGCCACTGTGCCAGCCTGTTAAATACTTCCAATGTCATCCCCAGTGTCACCATTTTTGGCAGAATTGAAGCTGAAATTCATATCAACTTTTAATACTGATGTTCTTCACAACCAAATAGTATGTATATGTGGAAGAACATAAACATCTCACCAGACTGCAAACTCCATGGGGTTAATGGTAGTGTCTGAATTTTTTTTTCTCACGATTGATGTATATTTTTTATTTTATTTCAATAGCTTTAGGGAGTACAAATAGTTTTTGTTACATGAATGCATTGTATAGTGGCAAAGAAGTCTGAACTTTAAGTGTACCTACCACCCCGACCTGTGCACATTCAAAATTGAGTTTTTGAATTAAAGAGTTCATAAAGCATTTTATCAAATTATAAATGAAAATGAAATTAGCTGCTTCTTTTGCTTTAAAAAGAGCAATGCAATTACCAGGTAAGAAAAAGAAGCAAAGGCTGATGTAAACAATCACCTCCCTTCCAAAAAATTCCAACAGGCTTCAATGCTGATGTCATTGTTAACACTCACCATTAGACTCTCAAAAGAAACGTGTCAAGTCCCTGGCCTGCTCTTTCTTAAAAACTTTGTTTCTTACACCTACAAAGTCCTCCACTGTCTGACATACTTGCTTAAGACATGATGTGTTTTCTCCTTAAACCCAACACACTGAGTTGGAAATCATCATCTACCTTAAACCAGCTGCTCCTTCCATCATCACCCCTTCTTTTACGTGTTTTTCCCCCTCCGGATTCCTACTTTTCAAACCTTAATTTCAACCCTTTCTCTCTCCCCTTTGAACTCATTTACTAAATTATCTTTATTCTTTGATTTTCACTTCTTTTCCACTATAATCTCAGTCTTAGTGTGGTACAATAGAAGATAGTATCCCTAAGGCAAGCCCTCTCCATTCGCTACTTCTTAGCTAGCTAAATCTTCCTTACACCCTGACTATTTTATCTTTTTTCCCACTTAATGCTCCAGTGCTAAAGCCTTTACTCTTTAACTTGACATGCATAGGCCCTATACCATTGCTTCTATGTTATTACCCTGTCACTCTTTGATCTCGACACCCCACATTTCCATCTACCTACTTTTCTTTGTGCTTTCAGGTCTCTATTTCTCAATTCATATTTTTTTCCCTCTCTATCCATAGATCAAGTATTGTGGGTCAAGATGTTTAGTCCTTTGAGACCTCTGTAAGAAAAAGAACATAACATTGAGGATACAGAATTAGGGACAGAGATTGGAAAGGGCCCAAGAGAGTGAGGGACTCTGAACCTTGAGTTTCATTATTTCACAGTCCATCAGCCCCAGCTCCTTCTATTTTGCTTGTACTTTAGCCAAAGGTTAAGCTTACTTCTTCCACGAGGCCTTCTCTGCTAACCTTGGCTGACACTGACATCCCTCATCGATTGCCAGAAGGCAAGGGTCTTGTCTTATACCATTTTATAGTCTTCTAGGGTCTTATATTTTGAATTTAGTGATTACTGGAGAAATATTGCTTATTTCTTTCTTAAATGGTTACAAAGGCAATTACATAAAGTTTAGAAGTTTCTTACATAATTGTCATCTTCAAAAATAGTTGTTTATGGAATGCTAAGCTGCTGTTAGAGCCCAAGGTAACTTTCTTTACTGTATGCAACTATATAAATGAAATTTCTTTGTGTAGCATTGTATGCTGTGTGTTTATATATGGCATAGCCTTATTTTTAGAGATCAGCTTTTGTAACAATCATATATGATCTTTTCAGTGGCTATGTAGTGGACCTGAAAATTTCTTTTTATAAAATGTGAAAATATTTCAACGATTGATAATTATAGTATTTAGAGAATCTTACGCAGAGATTTATTTGTTTATGTTGTTACGGTTCTTTAGATATTGTGTCTGTTTGTGAGAAACCTCCGTTTACTTCCTGGGTCCACTTTGCTGTTCCAGGACTCACTCAGGAAGGCCTTTTCAGGGTGAATGGCAACGTGAGGGTGGTAGAACAACTTCGCCTGAAGTTCGAGAGTGGGGCACCCGTGGAGCTCGGGAAGGATGGTGACGTCTGCTCCGCAGCCAGCCTGCTGAAGCTCTTCCTGAGGGAGCTGCCCGACAGTGTGATCACCTCCGCATTACATCCTCGGTTCATCCAGCTTTTTCAGGGTGAGGACCGTAAATCCTTCTAGGAGTTAAAACAATTTAATTTTTTTTAATAAAAACTGAACTTTTAAGTATTTAAAATTTAAATGTTAAAATAAACCTTTAAAGATGGAAGGGTGTCAAAAAAATATATACACATTTTAGGTATGAGGTTGGCTCAAAAGATGGCTTTAATCCCCAGATGAATGTTAGTGTCACCACATGACAGGCAGGACAGTCAGAGAAAATGATGGAAGCATGGTTGAACAAATGTCATACTACACATTGCTACCATCATTCAATTCAACTTCAAAAAGCAATACGTAGATAACATCGCTTGAAATGTGTGTACATTTTTTGGCACCCCGTATGTATGATCTTTTCATAACCACCACCTTGCTATTTTACTCCTCATCTTCTACCTAAGATAATACTAAACTGATTATCAAATAATCATTGTTACATGGAATTACTGAGGCCATTAGCATATGAATACTTCGGTAACATAGAAAAGACCTAATGCCTCTGGGTCAAAGAAATTCTTTTCTGGCTGCTATAGGAGTGCGAATAAGAATAATTTAGAAAATAATAGAGAGTAATTTAGAAAATATTCTTGAAGTTTTGGTTGGTTAGTGACCTTTGAGACTGAAAGCTCACTGGTGTGTTTATAACTCATAAGCAAGATTGAGTCTTGAAATAATTGTTCTTTTTGTAAGGTAAAAATTGACTTTTGGTTGTAATATGAAGTGATTTTATATGAAGACACTCATTTTTTAGTGGGTATCCAAAAAGCCTGAAATGTATTTATTAAAAAATTGTGTATTTATTCTTACATGTTTAAATTTAGTTCGGTCACCTTCAAAGTACTCTTCATTGATGCAATATTGCAATATACCTATCCAGATGCTTTTTCCACTGCTCAAAACAGCTTTGAACTCATCAATTTTGACGGCTTTTAGTGTTTCTGGCATTTTTTGTTTCACCTCTTCTATGTTGGCAAAACGTTTCCCTTTGAGAATTTTTTTCATTGGAGAAACAAAAAAATTACTCAGGTGAGTGGCTGAACAGGAGAGTTGGAGCACAGAGGTCATGCCATGTTTTGGTCAAAAACTGCCGAACATGCAGTGCAATGTGGGCAGGTGCATTGTCATGGTGGAAGAACCAGTCACCTGTTTGCCACAACTTAGGAAATTTCTTCCACAAATCGTGACACAACCTTCTCAAAACATCTAGATAAAAACTTTGGTTGACCGTTTGATCTGGAGGAACAAATTCTGAGTGTACTACAAGGGGCCCACCCTCCAAAAGATAATTACAGGTTTTTTTGCCCCCCCTTGTAGTTATGGACACAATCATTATTGAGTTCTCACTCCTAAATACAGTAAGAAAAATTATTTACCCTTAAAAAACCATTTCTTTTCTTATTTTTCCCAAGTTAAAGAGGAAGGGGGAAAATGTATTTCTAAGAATGTTAGTTACCAGATTAAGGCTCTTACTTGAAGCCAACCCCTTTACAGCAGACATGTAGCTATTCACATGTAATATAGTAAAGAAAGGAATAAGTGAGAAGGCCAGATAGGATGAATAAGAAGGTACCAGAAATATTTTACCCCATAAAAGTCATTTTCAAGTATTAGGTAAAAATGATGAGGTTGTGTTGGAAGTTTACACTGACCATCCCCACTAGCCGTTCACTAGGGAGGGACATCCATTTGTAGCTCCCCAAGGCCCTAACGTCAGCAGGGCCTCCTTGCCTGGCCCCTTCTTCCTCCTCTGCAGGCCCTGGCTTCCGGTGGTGACCTCCAAGCAGTCCTTTGGGAATATTACCCATATTGTGCCTCTTTCTTCAGAGTTCCCCTCTGGTTCTCAGGAAACACATGCACAACTTGCCAAGTGCTAACGTCCAGGTCAGTCACAAGGCAGAGCCCTGCCTCTTTGTGCTGCCACCCAGGGGACCCCCTAATCAGCCTATGTTAGACTGTTTCAGATGTCTCAGTCTTTCAGGAATTTTAGACTCTTTAACTTCCCAAGTGGTTATCTGATGTCACCTCTCTTTGGGAAAGTTAGGGGAAACATTATATTTCTCTAACAACTCTCTTTTCAAAAGAATCCTCATTCTTTTTTTTTTTTTTTTTTTTGAGTTGGAGTCTCACTCTGTCGCCCAGACTGGAGTGCAGTGGCCGCTCCCGCTCCCGGCCACCGCAGCCTCGGCCTGCTGGGCTCCGGCGATCCTTCCACCTCAGCCTTCCGAATAGCCGGAATTACAGGCATGCGCCACCACGCCCAGCTGATTTTTTTGATTTATTGTAGAGATGAGGTCTCGCTACCCAGGCGGGTCTCGAACCCGCGGGCTCAGGCAATTCACTCACCTCAGCCTCCCAAAGGCGTGGGATTACAGGCTGAGCCACCGAGCCCGGCTAAGAATCCTCATTCTTTAATCTTTAACTTCAAATTTTTTATTTCAAATTTCTGCTTAAATATCCTTGAGGTAGGTAGTGGCCCAGGACTTCCAGACCTGTTTTCAGTCTGACCTTAACAAGTTATTCATAGCTTATCTAGCACATCTCTTTAGAATGGGTAGGTCTATCGCAACCTTTGGTTTTATCTTTGGGGTCTCAGCCCCAAGTTGTATCAGTTTGCTTGGTTTGCCCCCACAGAATGCCCCAGTACTGGAGGCTTGAAGTCCAAGATCAAGGTGTTGGCAGTGTTGGTTCGTGGCAAGGCCTCTCTTGTTTGGCTTACAGATGACCGCCTGCTCACTGTGTCCTCACATGGTCTTTCCATGTGAGGTGTGTACACTCTTCTGAAGTCTTCCTCTTCTCATAAGGACACCAGTCTTATACTACATTAGGTCTCCACTTGTATGACCTCATTAACCTTAATTACCTCTTGAAAGGTCCCAAATACAGTCACATTCTGAAGTACTGGAGATTAGAGCTTCAACATACTGATTTTGAAGGGAACATAATTTCAATCCAAAACGATGAAGTACTAGGAAAAAAAATCCCAGAATTCTTACCCAGCTTAAAAATCATTATTTTGTTTGTAATTTCATTTTCACTTCATTCTTCAATAATTAAATATTGTATTTTGTTGGAAATAGTGGCAAAATATAAAAACAAAGCTTGGAGGAAAATTTGTCCTAGTTGTCTATAGTACTTTTACACTTCCTGGGTCATTAAGTAACTTTTGGTAAGTGACATATGTTTGAGGCTTGTTAATTAGAAACTGAACTTTTTCACATCTAAACTATTTCATATTTATATGTACGAGCATTTCAATTTAGAGACTTTCAATCATTCTTACAAGGAATATTTTATCCATGTCATAAGGATATGAGGTTTTGAGATAAATTTTGAAAATTGTTTTCAAATAATTGCTACAAAAACTAGTTGATGATTTAAATATTTTGTGCTTACTAAAAATATTTTGGTAATCAAATAGTTTTAATATTTTTATATTACTTTATAGTATTCTGTATTACTTAGTATTCTTAGTTCTTAAGAAACTTGGGAATTTTAAAAGCTTTTTATCAATTTTCTGAATAGTTTCCATTTGATATGAGAATGTACTGTTTTATTATTTTTGTTACTATTTATAGTAATACTTTTGTTATAATTTAGGTTTTCTTTGTAAGTTATCTTCTTCTTATTGACATGTCTCCTCAGTGGCCAAAAGTTGATATGCACCATAAAACTAAGCCATAGCATTCTGAAAGTAAGATCAATGATTTAGTCGGTTTTTAGGTTATATGAGATTATGCACAAATAATAAATCTTGAAAGGGGCAGTGAGATTAAATTTTTGCTTTATTAGTATTATTCGCTCATTCCCTGAAAATCTCTGGGGTTAGAATTGGCACATTCAGTAAAGAAACTATTACAGTCATGCATCACATAATGACACAGAGAAATGTGTCATTAGGTAATTTTACTGTTGTGTGCATATTATAGAGTGTACTTACACAAACCCAGACAGTATAACCTACTATACTCCTAGGCTATATGGTACAGTCTGTTGCTTATAGGCTGTAGACCTGTATAGCATGTCACTTATTCAATACTGTAGGCAATCATAATGCAGTGGTAAGCGTTGTGTGTGTATCTAAACATAGAAAAAGTATAATAAAAATAGAATATAAAAGATAAAAAATACTACACCCATATAGGGCACTTACCCTGAGTGGAGCTTGCAGGACTGGAAGTTGCTCTGGGCGAGTCAGTGAGTGAGTGGTGAGTGGATGGGAAGGCCCAGGACATTACTAAACACTACCACACACTTTATAAACACTGTACGCTTAAGCTACACTAACTATATTAACTTTTTTTCAATAATAAATTAACTTAATTAAAAATTTTTTCTTTATTAAGGGGTGAGGGAGGCAGGATTGGCAGTAGTGGGATTCTGCCAGAAAAAAATTTTTTTTAAATAAAATAAATTAACCTTAGCTTTTTTACTTTATAAACTTATTTTTTTTTAATTTTTTAGCTCTTTTGTAGTAACATGTAGTTTTTAAAAAACCTAATAAAATATTTATTTATTAAGAGTTGTGGGGTACAATGAGGATTTACTACGTAAGTTGACTGCATCCAGGTGAAGTCTGGGCTTGTTGGTGGCCCTCCCTTGTCTTGTCACATACACTTCACCCTTCTCTCTCCCTCTCTCCCCTGGCAGTGCCCAGTGACCACTGATCCCTCCTTTGTGTTTACATAACTAGTGTTCAAGGTCCACTTAGGAGTGAGAACATGCGGTATTCAGTTCTTTGTTTCTGTATTAGTTCAATTAGTATCATGGTCTCCAAATGGCATCCAATTGCTGCGAAGGCCATGATTTTGTTCTTCTTTATGACTGTGTAATACTCCATCGTGTATATATACTACATTTTCTTTATCCAGTCCACTTTCATTGGGCAGCAGAGTTGGTTCCATGTTTTTACTATTGTGAATAGTGCAGCAATAAAAATGCATGTGCAAGTGTCTTTTAAATAGAAAGATTTATGTTCCTCTGGGTATATTCCCAGGAGAG